CAAAGTGAATTTTGCAGATTCACCTTGTTGGCAGGGTGAGGTTAAGTGAATCACCACACTCGGGTCTTGTATGCGTGTCTCCGATACACAACATACATCAATGACTGGAGATGCCAGAGTTCTTGCTAGTGATGCTTATTGTCCGATTTGGCAGAGGATCCTGACGTTGAATACTCCAATATAAAGTTAGCCACATGGTTTTAGGAGGCTATCAGTGGTGTTTTCCCGATTCTCATCGGCATTATTGATCACAGGGTGAACAAAAGACCAGGAAAGTACTAACAAAAGGAGGAAAGCAAGATGATGAAGGTGGATGATGATCGGAGAGCTTCGGATGCTTTTGGAAGTGTGTGGGCGGTTGTTACTTCCCGGCTGCCCACACCTTTACTTCCTTGCTACTCACAACACGGAAGTCTATTTTTTCTCAAAGTACCTGAAACAGAATTAGTGTTGCTTGACCTCATAGACCAGGGGACAACTGCTTGAAGCCGGTCACATACGGACTGTTTGAACTGGCTTTTTGGTTTGGTTCCGTTTCAGTAACTTACCGTTGGTTACGGACCACCGTAGGGTAATTCAGGATGTATAGTTTTTGGGTCGACCTTTTCTCACCCATTCTCTCCAGAGTGGAGAGACAGCATAGCTGGCTGGCATGCTGGTCATCTAAGGGAAACACTTTGTCCCTGTCCCCCAGCTGTACGACTTTGACCACAGACCCCCCAGCATCTTACACTATGCCGGTAACTGATTTTAGTTTGATTGCTGTCATTGCGATGCTCAAACCCAACTACCACATCCAGGTAGCAGCCATGATATTCTGTTTCTTACAAAATTATATATATACTAGGTAGTAGCTCGTTACCATACTTTATATCCGCGAGAAATGGAAAGAAAGAGATAAGACAATATCACAGGTTTTCTGTTGTACCTTTCTTCATTCTCTCGCTTATAGTGAGTGAAGGTACACAGAAATTAGCAGTGAGGATAGGCATAAAATGCCAAGTAAGCAACGAAATTCAACCAAGAGGTTGTGAATCTTTGAATGAGGCGGCTGGAATGCCAAATGGTAATAGATCCTGCTACCCTGAGTGCCACTTTGTTGAAATTATAACCAGTTCCCCTGACTAATCACTTTCTAAAAGCCATGTCTTCATTTATAGCTAAAAAAATTTATACATGCTACTTACATATAGCTCGACTTCGCCTAGTTTACTAGCCGGTCCGCAATCTAGAGAAAGAGGTAAGGTTGGACGCGGGACTACCGACCCTACCTCTCATTCTTTACTGGGATAGGGAAGGCGAAGTGATGCCAACTGGTGAAGGCTTTCAGCAAGCCACTCAACAGATGTCTTCTTTCGATTAAAGCGAGAGTAAGCACATGCTGATGGAATGCCAGAACCACGTTTGAAGCTGGGAAGGCTGCATGGATTGCAAAAGAAATCAAAAGATATAGTATAGAAGTGTCACGAGTCTGTGAGAGCAAATGGGATAAAAAGTGAACACACAGACAACAAATACGAGTACACTAACGATGTGGCCATCATGTCACCAGCAGCACAGGAAGTTCTGATGTAGTGGGAACATCCTCTTTCAGAATCACGATAACAGGATCATTTCGAAAAGGCCTGAAGTTCAAAATGACTCGTTTTAAGTTTTGCCGGTGAATATATTGTGATGATAGTCACTTTTGTAAGGAAACATTTGAAATGCTGCAGAATTATAAAATGAGTATTACTTCAATTTGGAAGGATGCAGAACAGAGGCATTTCCAAATGACAAGTGACTTGACCTTTCAGTAAAGACTGGATTCTTATATTATTAAGCTTTTTATACCGCTCCGAAATTATCATATTGTAAGTAATGATGAAATATAAGCAGTTTGAGCACCAAGGAATTCAATACTTCAGAGAGAATATTAAAAGTAGGCAATATAAGGCTTTCAGTGATAAACTAGTGACTTTACCCTCTGCTTTATATGCTGCGATTAGTACTTATATGACAAGTGATTGTTAGAAGTGAAATGAAACCAACTGACCGCTCACTGTACAGAAAACTGACGTCTTGTGAAAAAAGGACGCAATTAAATGATACTTAGACAGTTCCCTAGTAAACTGAGATCACGAGTGAGTAGCTATAGCAGGCACAGAAATAACACTGAAAACTAACCGTCCGACAAAATGCAGATGTCTTGAAGACCATGAAAATGCAGAAGGCCGAAAAGGCTAGATGGAATTCCCAAAGAAGCACAAAAAAAGACTCGGAAACATCAGCCGATATGCTCTCACCACCACTGCTAAGGTTTGGAAGGAAGGAAAGCTACCAACAGGTCGGAATAACGGCTGTGGAGTCCTAAATGATAAATCTGTACAGTTTATGCTGTGTCCAAAATGGGCACGTCGTACATAAGCTTTGTTCCATCGACTTATTTGTCAATAATACGTAACTTTATATATAGCTGTGCTGTCCGTTACTTCACCTTCTCACTGTTTGCTATACTAATACTTGCGCTGTATTCTTTGGAATTTACAGAAACACCTCATCCTTATCTGAAGATTCATCTGCAACCGGCAGACAACTTCTATTTGTGGACACGCCTCCACCAGTAGAACAGATATTTGGGTGATAACAATATTTTGTGGCAGTGGACTGTAACTGCATTTCAAGTAACCATTAACTTTTATAACTGTATTTATATAATATACCGTTTCAATATCCTTTCATCAGCTTGGATTTCGATTGATATTTTGTATCGTTACCGAGCTCGCTATTAAGTCTCTTACACGGCTGCCTTGTCAAAGGGCAACTTCAGCAAGAACTGGGGCAGAATCGTGCTCCTGTTTACTCCAAACAAAATATTGAGCTAGATCATCCTGTAGAGAATAAAAGATGCTCTGGATGCAAAATTCTGCACGTAACAAACCGGATTCAGGAAAAGCAGATGATATGCAGGTCAAATAGTAACGCTAAGTATGACCATCGAAAAGAATCTCTACCTCATCGACTTTGAAAAGACCATCTAGAAATCGTAAGCAACCAGTAACTCTGGTAGTCAGAGAACCAGCCAACAACCCACTGCCCAACAAAAGTAAACACAAGAAACTGGAGATGAATTGTACATATGCTGAGAAGGTCGTGGGATGACATCACGCGTTCGACTTTCTAGTGGCACTCGAATAGAAAGTGACGAGTTGGACGTGTGAAGAGGAAATGGAAATTCATAGGCATCGTAAAGACTACAGAGTGAAGTGGAAGTGTGCTACTGAAGTGAACTCGGTAAACATACAGGTTGCTTTCATGAAGTTTCAGTAATGAACCCTCTCAATGAGTCCACAGTCAAATGCAATTGAGAAAATGAAAATAGGCTGAGAATGTTGCAACTAAACAGGTGGAGTCTGCAACTGTTACTTTGACCAGTCTAACTAGCTGCAAGTTGTTTAGCCGAAGTCCAAGAAATGGGAGAATTAATCCCACTGGCGCCAGTATAATTACATTTCATCTTCAGTGCAATACCATATTCCGACTGGTTCCATCGTCTAACAAGGTACTGTGAACCTACCTATGTCTCAGAATGAATTTTGAAATATGACATTACGCTGCGATGCACTAAGATAAGTTGACAGCTTTTCCGAAGAATAAATTGTGGGGTATATAACTGATGCAAATTTTTTAGAGGCTGGGATTCAGTCACTGTTAACTATTTAGTCACTGCTCAACATGATGGTGTTTTCTAACAGTTTTTATCGAGAGGGGTTCATCAACTCATCCACTGACTTTCCACGTCATGGATATTCTCAATAATACTTAATGTACTGTTTCATCCAATACGAGAAATTCAAAAGAAAATGCACCTGACATATTCTGCCTTCAAGAACTACATCAGACAAATATCAACTAGGACAGAGAACTGACAAATGCCAAACGAACCCCCAGTTTTTGTGGTAAGATTTCTTCAGAACACGGCCTGCTAAGCTTAATGCAACTTTCCAGTGAAGTTACTAACGTGTTCAACTATTTAACAACCTGACCTCAAACTGGAAGTCTCTGAAAATCAGTTGCGTGGCATTATCTGACAATTGGTGAGGTCAGGCGTTTGTTGAACACTCAAATTTCAGCGTAAGGTGTTAAGAAGACTGCATTTTCGCACAACAGGAGCATATTACTGTCATGCATTACGTCAACTAGCATAGTACCAGGTAAATCTTGAGTAAGTGAGTAAAAAGAAGTCAGCAATGGTTAAGAAGCCACCTCCTTTAACTAGCAACCTAATATCAGCTACAAGAATATAACATGCAAGCACTTTTGATTCTGGATTTCGTTTTGTAGGATATGAATTCCCAGTTGTTCATTTATCTCATGTTTATGCTTCTTCAGTGGATTGATAAATGGAATATTCGGATAGTATGGCATATACTTCAGTCCAGTCAATGAAGATTATTATTAACAGCCTTTTCATTACAAAAAAAACACAAATTGATGGTGAAGAGAACATAAACTTTCATAGGGGGGTAACACTAACAACGCTGTAATCATTCTCACGTTTCAATTATCCATATATATATATATATATATATATATATATATATCAGTGCACACTTCAAACTTATCCGCAACACACACAATACACAACACTGCATTAGTATATCCACATAACAGTTGACAAATTGAATTATCTGAATACAAAGGCAAGAAAAAATCACATTTATTCAAACACAATAGACTGACATAAAAGTATAAGAATAATAAAAAGTATTCCTTCAACTTTTCTCTTGTACACAGTTAATCAGCTTTTTTTTAAAAAAAAAGACGTATCATATAGATTTTACGTTCCATTTTCAACTTGAATATACCTAATAATTTAACTACTTAAAAACGAACAAGTAGCACTTTACATAACTGTGAAAGAAACCAAGGCATGTAAAAAGAAAGTGTTAAATGTGAGAGAAACGTATATCATTAAAAAAAACACCAAGTCAGGAATATTTTCACTTCTTCAATCGGGTTCATACAGGACGACCGGTTGAATTGATAAACAACTGTCTACACAATGGGCAAGCAGGATTTTTACTGGTCGTAAACCATTTATGCATACACGCATAATGAAATAATTTTCGACAAGTAGGACAATTCATTTTTGGCAAACTGAAATTAGTGTTATGTATAATGGAATAACAAATTGCACATTCTTCAACACCATCGAACTTCTTCCGGACATTACGTTGCCACAGATCAATACCATCTAAAATCGATCCGTTCTATATTGTCGTTCATCAGGGGAAAAAAGAAAAGTACATTTAACGAAAGAATTATCAGCTGCTGATACGACAACTTAACAATTACTAGCTTTTAGTTCACTAAAATAGTCTGCTACATCTTTTTGTATCCTATAGATAAACTTTTCTGGCTGGATAGAAATTTTAACAGGTCATGCATCATACTGTACTGAATTCCATCGGCCAGCTCTACGAACAAACATGTAGAACGCTATTTGATTATTTTGTGGTGATGTGATACACAGAATGTGTTCTAAAGGAATATTGTTCTCACGTACTCCCACAGTTCATTACATATATAGCAGTTTGATCAGTTGAAAATGTATCTTTGATTCTGTGTCTTGCCTTCTGCTGTTACAATTTTAGTGCTGTGAGTAATGTCGTTGACGAATGGAAACTGACAAGCAGTTTTTAAGAATCAGCTTGTAGGGATTGTATCTGTTTCAGGTTAGACCACGGATTGATATTAGTTAGAGAACAACCATTGAAAACCAGGGAGTACTGAACAGCTCTTTCATCCTAGTTTGGGATTGAGAGGCAGTACGCACCCACTGAATTTCGAACCAGGACCTTCCAGTTACAAGGCAAACTCGTACACCATTCAGCCACTGGGACCTGACTCAATGTATTTTATTTATTTAAACGCAGAAAAACTTGGTACAATATGGTACCAAGAAGATGCGCCACACAATAATAATAAAACAACATAGATTAAAAGTAAAAATATAATTAGAGAACGGATAAAGAACTTCATCAGGAAGGAAAACAGTCATACTTAACAAATTCAAACAGTATTCGGCAACTATCATCAGGAAGGGAATAAAAAAGGAAACTGCAGCACCCCATTATGGATAAGATTTTATTTCGGTAGGTCACAGTATTATACAATAATATTAACTGATGACGCTTCGATCACAAACTATTGCTCATAATCATATCAAGTTACTCACACAACTTTGTGTGTGAGTATATATATATATATATATATATATATATATATATTGACTACAATTTTTGGCCATATCCGATAACGTTTCGAGCCATCGATTTGAGCTATCTCTCAGACCCCAACCAGGGAGTCGTGACGCACCAACCGATGCTAATCTAGCACAGAAATCCTTCATCCCACGACGCCACGTCATGGGCTGACCACCTCTCCGCCTTTTCTATCCCGTCCCAGGGCTAGCGAACAGAGACCTGTACGGAAGCCTCTGGGATGACATTCGCAGCACATGTCCAAGCCACCGGAGCCGGTGTTTCCAGATGACGACATTCAATGAATGGTGATCTCCACTGTGTTCAAACACACGCCGCCGAACCTCAGAATTACTCACGCGATGATGCCATCGAACGCAAGCAATCCTGCGGAGACAGCGGTGATCGAACACGCAGAGTCGCCTCACATCCTCAGCTCGGAGAGGCCAGGTTTCACAGGCGTAGAGCACCGCAGCCCGCATCGAAGCATTGTATACCCGACCTTTGACAGCCAGGCTAACGTCGCGACGGCGCCAGAGGTGGCTCAAGTTGATGTATGCCACCCTAGCTTTCATTATACGGTTGGAAATCTCATCCGTCACCCCTCCGCCAGCACTCACACAACTACCTAGGTACACAAACTTATCGACAACTTCAAGCGGTTCACCCGCAAGAGTGAGTGCAGGTACAGGCTCCTGCCAATCTTGTAACAGTACTTTGCACTTAGACGGTGCAAAGCACATACCATATTTATAGACACTGATCGCCAACTGATTAAGTGCGATTTGGGCAGCCTGCATACTATCGCACAGTAAGACGATATTGTCTGCACACTCGAAGTGGAAAAGTCTATCTCCAGGGAGCAGATCTACACCACCTTCAAGCACGTCCTTCGGAGCTGACTCCAGAATGTCATCGATGGCAAAGTTATGGAGAGATCGGGCAATCCTGTCTAACCCCAGTGTTGGTTGGGAACAGCGATGATAGTTGGTTGTATGCCCTCACTCTACCTGAGGTGTTTCTGTATTGAGCTTTCAGGATGTTCACAAACTTCTCAGGCACACCCCTCTCTAACAGACAGTTTCAGAGCACATTTCTGTCCAACGAATCGAAGGCAGCCCTAATATCAAGAAACACAACGATTGTTGGCCTGCAATACGTGTGGCGGTGTTCCAACAACTGACGAAGGGTGAACACATGACCAATGCATCCACGACGTGAACGAAACCCAGCCTGCTCATTGCGAATCAATCCTTCACGTGTTTTGCACAGCCTGCGGAACAAGACAGCAGCCAATATTTTAGACGCAACTGGTAGCAGACTGATACCCCGATGGTTGTCACATGAATTACGTTGACCCTTTATAAAGATGGGGACGTTATGGCTGCGTTCCACATTGATGGTACACTCTCAGTTTCCCACACCTTCCTGAATAGTCCAGTTAGAGCCATTGCGAGAGTCTCGCCACCATCTTTAAAAAGAGCCGGAGGTAGATCGTCTGGGCCGGGGGCCTTATGGCTTCTTAACACTTGGAGTTCCTTACGGACCCCCACTTCGGTTGGTGGGTCGGTACTAACCAACCAAGGAGCACTGGAGCTAGTGACAGCAGATACTGAAGCTGGTGGCCAGCTAAACTGTTTCTCGGAGTGCTCTGCCCAGCGTTCCAGGCGTCTTTTCAGACTGGTAGTTGGCGTGCCATCTGCCTCACAGACCGTCTCGCTGACACCTTGTTTCCTGCTGCCGGTGGCTCGGATGAGCTGGAATACCTTCCGACTGTTGCCAGATGCAGCAACTGACTCCATCTCACACGCACGTTCTAACCACCAGGCTTTTCAGTCCTTACGTAAACACTGTCTGATCTTGCGCGTCAGCGCCTTTCGCTTATTGTTGTATTTGCCGCCAGCCGGAATGGACCGGCGTTCATCCAGGGGTTGCAAGGAACTCGCAGAAACCCAGTGGAATTTAGCGGATCATTTTTTTCAAGCCACAAGCAGCTACACTCGCCATTTGCATGGCGTCTTGCAGATGAAGCCAATGTTCATCTATACTACTTGGGGGTTGCTAGCAAGCAGTGATTGTAACTTATTCTGGTATTTGAAAAAAATAGCAGGTGCTACTAATTTGCTCACATCAACGTTTAGACGACACCTTTTATGAACCCCACCAACTCGCAAGACGAACCTGGCACACACTAACGCATGATAGGAGTCCAGGCATGTGCTCCAGAAGGAGCGGCAGTCTTCCAATGCATCCTCGCCACTGGAAACCGACAGCAATATGATCGATCTGAGTTCAAGCTTGATTCGCAGAAGGAGGACGCCAAGGAGCTCTACGGTGATGGATGTGCCGCAAGTTGATGATGGCTAGAAATAGGTTGTGATCTGCGCAAAGCTACAGAAAACGGTTCCCATTATCTGACCTGCGACTCCGTAATCCCCACTGACCACCTAGACGACTCTCCTCTGAGCTTAGACGCCCGACCTGTGCATTCAAGTCCCCAGTCAGCACTATGATATCCCTGCGACCCACCTGTTTCAAGAGATCGCTGAGTTGGTAGTAAACTTATCCTTAATTGCATCCGGGCTGCAATCCGTCGGTGCATAGGCAGGCACAACAAATAGACACTGCCTACCTGGCCTACCACTCCTTACTTTCGTATAACCTTCCAGCCTCACAGCATGTGAACGACTGTTAATGGGGATCCAGTCGAGTGATGCAGCTTCGGCTCTAGCGCTTAGTGCGACACCGACACCAGCTACGCCGGATGCCAACGCCACAGGGTCCCGGACAAGCCCAGGTGGTACATACTACTAAGACTTCCAGATGGAGAGGATAATCGAAGCACTTCACTGGGATCTTGAATGCGGGTCTTCGAGGCTTTCCAATATTCTTACCAACCCTGCCCATTGTCCGATTTGCATCAGTGTCCGAACATTGTAGGTGGCCAGCTTGAATGCGGCACGAGGTTTCAGGATATGTGTCAAGTGTCGCATTGGGGACAACCATTTTGGAGGCTACTCACTAACATCTCAAAACGACACAGATAGGCCGGGAATTCAGACAAAGGCGAAAGGCTGTCGGAGGTGAAGACGTCAAGTTTAGCAAAGGTAAAATACAGGAGTCTATATATAAAAATAAAAGTAAGGTTGGAAAAAGATGTGTTACTTGAGATATCATTATTGCTCGAAAGTATTGTTATGAGCGCGCGATAAGTTTCACTGGTAGTTTGTTGGTTCATTTCATTTATTGTGTGAGGGCTGAGATACTGCCCGGACGCCCAGACCGAAGCAAGTGGTTTGATTAAGAGACCACTCTCGAGCCTTTGAATTGGAGTCTAATCCACAAGGCAGAGGAGCAGCGTCAGGAGCTACGTTCCCATGGTTGTCAGTGACCAATATAGGTTCATACGCCATTTGGATTCTGGAGCCCATGTACGCCATAGTAACTGCTTTTAGTCTAACCGCTATCCAAACAACCTTCCTGACATGGTAGAACCTGCAGGAACATGAGTCCCAGCCAGTTTAGCTTGTTGGGTCACTGCGGTATTCAAGCCTAACCACCACGACAAGGTAGCAGTTGTTGACCGGGAGACCCAATGGCTAGCCCATGAATTCTAACTTCTACCAATTCGTGATTTTAGCGCGACCACCAACCAGTATCATCGGCGGGAAATCCATCCTCACTCCTGACCCTGTTGGTCACGACTTTTCACTAGAAGTTCAGGAAACTTCGTCCTGTAGCCAGTCACACGTGAGCATCAGGTTAATCTCTAAGAATTAGTTTGTAGTGATTGTATTTTCACTGGACACTAGTTACTAGTGTCCAATGAAAATACCGACTACAGTCCTAAAGGAGGTCAATCGCGACCCCGAATAGCTCAGTGGTAATGCCTCTGACTGCAGTACTGGGTGACGCGGTTTCGAATCTCAGAATGAACATGAGTTCCTTCAAAGTTGCAGATACGCCTTGCTGACGAGTGCCAAGTAGCACGAAACTTAGGCCCAGGGCTTCCTGCCGATTGCCTCCAACGATCTAATATCGTCAAAGAGATTGTATTTGTTTCAAGTTAGAATTCATGAGCTAGCCACTGAGTCAGGTCCCAGTGGCTGAATGGTGTACGAGTTTGCCTTGTAACTGGAAGGTCCTGGGTTCGAAAGTCAGTGGGTGCGTACTGCCTCTCAATCCCAAACCAGCATGAAAGAGCTGTTCAGTACTCCCTGGTTTTCAATGGTTGTTCTCTAACTAATATCAATCCGTGGTCTAATCTGAAACTAATAAAGTTTACTGATTCAAGCGAATTATAATCATCATAGTGGTGAATTGACACCAAATATATTCGTGTAGATAAATATGATATTTGTGCAGGTTTCACTTAGGTAACACTATGCTTCAGTTCAACACACACTGTCTGAAAAATTACCTATAGGAGTCATTAGATGCAACAATCGATAGCTGAGAAAAATTCTTTATTTTGTTCCTCTTTCTTCCCAAGTGTGTATAGCTGAGATTAATTCTGAAAATCAATTAGACTTTCCAACCATCTGTTTTTCAAGGAGATCGATAACAATAAAGATAGGAAATCGTAAAGGTAATGCTTCCAGGGTTATTATTGAAACTTCCTGAAATATTCATGTAAGATTGGAATCATAATTGAAGCAGTAGTTAGTGGATGGTGTTTGGCATTTTTTTACCCTGTCATTTCTGACCATATACGATCAAAATTATCTTGGGAGAAGAGTAAAATATCACTAACTTACATGATTATTGATAAAGACAGACAGCTGCAAAAGCCATGCCTGCCACTGTTGACTGCCAACACCAACACTGCGTCCTTTGTTAACAGTAACTGGGCTTAAAGGATAGTTATCTGGTAACTGAACAATCATTTCCATTGAATGCTCATCATCCACATGATATGTAGCAATAATCTAAACAATATAAACAAAAAAGACATCAAGAATGTATGTGAAATCTGATAAGAAAATTCACGGCATTTTAGAAATATTAGAAGTGTTGGAAATTCGGTATACTAAGCGATCCTACAGGATATTTAGAAGTACAGACTACCGCATCAATCTTACTGATCCTTCTTTCGTTAAGCTTTCAAATGCAGGATCATTCGTCAAGCTTTCATTATATATATTTATAACGTCACTAACGCTACTGGATAGCAGTGATACTATATCGTCAATTGACTAGAGTTCGAATTTACGGGGTTGTACGGTTCCCTTTAGTGACCAATGGGTTCACCTGGTAACTTGAATAACCTTTGTCTGATTCCTTACGGGGTGAGTGGGTATGTACTAATGAAGAATCTAAAGCTGGGATAAAACAGCCACCCAAGCTCTATGGTTTCCAATAGTTCTGTTGACGAAATCTAACCTAAAATCAATAAAATCTCTATAGTGCAATACAATAAGACATTAATGGTATGCCTCCATGTTCAATAAGATACTAAACAAGAATTTGTACAAATATATGGAAAATGAAAATAGATCATGAAGTGTACTGGCATTAAAAAAAACGTGATAGTCGATGCTTACCTCGCGTGATAAAGGACGACCTTTGATACGAACGCTTCCAGCTTCAGCTGTACTTTTAAGAAGGGAAAATAAACTCTTTGAAGAATTCCGCTCTTTGTTCAGTAATCTTAGATACGAACGATACTGGACTAGCACCACTTCATCTCGTGCTAAACTGGATGAAAAATATTTTGACACTAGTTTATCAATAGTACCAGCCAACTGACGCAAACGACCAGGCCGGTGTGAAGCAAGTGGACTAATGTGTGGCGTTGTATTTTGTGATGAGGTAGATAAAGATGTGACTTGAGTGTGCCAAGCACGAATTAAACCTGGAGCATCAGACAAGAAGCGACGAAATAGTCTCACTGCAAAATGACTAATATCATGAGCTACTCTATGTCCTGGTATCTGAAGGAGTTTATCATCAGGAGAAAACACATCTCTCCACTCTCTATCATCTCCAGAAGCAAGTGGTATCATCAAATTGGTTGGACGTCTGCAATGACGGCGAGAGGAAAATATGGTCAGAGCAGCTGTGAGATACATACGAGACGTTGAGTTGAGCAACAAAAGACGTTCATCAGGCTCCAATCTACAAACAGTATTTGCATATTCTTCCAGATTTCCTGATGGTGGTAGAAGTAATCCAATTACAAGCATAAATCTGTCAAACATAACAGCAGATGTAGTTAACAAGGCACGTTGTAAAAATGCTCGGGTTTGTGCGCCAGCGCATGTCATTAGACTTAACAAGCTATCCCAAGCAAGCAAATAACCTAGAAGGGCTTGATGAGACTGACAATTTAATTTCCAGCCAGAAACCGAGCAATCAATCAAGTATGACAAGCTTGAATCACCACGACCCCAGTTATCAGCAGCTAATTCACTATACAAATACTTCTCAACAGACACAGGTAACACACCATATAAAGCTGAAATCCAAGAAGCTGGAATCCGACGAATCAGATAATTTGCTATAGATACTGACGTTTTATTCTTGCCCTGCAATATACGCATTCCAAAAAGTCGATTAAGTAAAATGTGTCCAAGAAGTTGACCAGATTGATGAGGTGAAGAAGTAATTAATTTGCAAGCCATATCCAAACTGGCACGAAATCCAGAAGTAAAGTCATGCACAGAGACATTCTTATAGGGGAAAAGTTGATTAATTACATTCGATTGACTTGTATTTAACTGAACATTACTCAAGAACTCAAGTATTAATGCAGGTTGATTAGTGAATGTTGTAATTAAATGATTAGCTGGACAAGTGGCAAAAGCAGCACAAAGAGCTTGAATATGTACATCTGTATCAAGTGCTGCTTGACATTCGCGGTGGTCTTGTGGTACACAGGACTTCAAGACGACAGGTAAAAATGTGGAATAGAGGTTCGCAGAAAAAAAGTTTTCCCAATCGTTTCGAACACTTTCGCTTGTCACTCCTCTACGAGGTATAAGGGGTAATCCTCTGGAGAAAACACTATACATATACTCTTCATCATCTAAATCATTGTCTTCATCTAACTCTGTTTGTCCACAATCACCTTCTAATTCTTCTTCTAAATCTATATTGAAATTTTCATTTAAAATATCTTTAGATTGATCGTTATTATCACATGACAAATCAGAAAGTTGTTTTACATGCTCTTCTTCATCATAAAACTCATTAGTAGGCTCCTCATCTTCGATCTCAATGTCATCGTTCTCATCCATATTATCCGACTGGATAGCTCTTTTACTCGAACTACTTTCCTGCGAAATAATACAATCTGACAGAGGTAGGTGTGAATTACGTCCAACAAATATAGCACCAAGTGCAGATGACATTCGAAATGACCGAAATGCAAATATATCACGTATTGTTTTCTCTGAACCGGATTTAGGTAACTCACGTAAGTACTGAACACTTGCACAAACCCAGCTAACAGTTAGACAGAGGATAAAATCCCACTGCTGCAATGATAAAGATGGCCTGAGTTGACGCATTCGCATGCTTAAGTGGATAAGACCCAATCTAACAGAAACTGGGGATTTTTCAGATTCTAGCATGCTCCACTGCCATGGTTGCCACAGTAATAGTAAGCATTCAAGATAACTCATTGTTGAAAGACATGCGCTGAAAATTTCAGGTGACTGTAAACACAGACTGTTATCCTCTATTACAGCATCCGCTAAATTAGTTAACCACGTTCGATAATCCTCCAACATAACAGAAGAAAATGTTGTCAAGTAGATTGGAGCAGCTACACGAATATTGACAAGACTTGAGATTAACTCAGTAATGCAAGCATGAATCTTCAGATGATAGTCGTTTGGATTTGATATATCACAATCTCCAAGAGATAAAGAAAAACTTTTCAATTTGCCTAACAAATCCTGTCTTGGTAAGCAACGACGGATAATGCCTGCAGGCAAATACAATTCAATACACTTGTTAAAATTCATTTTGTCTGAGTAATTTATTTCCTGTGAAGAGGTAAATGGCAAATACCGTTCAGTCCACACAAAACCTTGACTTTCATCATCACTACAACTGGCTGCAAGTTTAATGTCACAAGGCCAAAGATTTGAATGTATAGTACGTAAACGATTCAATAACAGCACATTTATTGTTAGATGTAAAAGGGGATATGTTGAAGATTCTAAGGGAGTAATAGATTCCAACACCTTCGAAGATGATAAATTCAGTAGACGCATTAGTGGATAGCGGGCAGTTAATTCGTGCCAAGACGAACCCAATGTTTTTGTGAGTGAAGAACCAACTTTTTCAAATGCAGATAATGCAGGTTCAAGATGATGCTTCTTCTGACTATTTAGTTCACGTACATTTAAATCTATTCGTTCTGATGGCCATCCAAAATCAGTGCACAAGTCCCATGGTTCACAAAAACTTGATATCCAAACACGTATAAATCCAAGACATAATAAATACTGATTTACTATCATCTCATCATCACATGAAACAAGATGCAGGTGCAGACGCAACATTAAACCCAAGTGATGTAAGCGAATTAATTTACCTAAATGAGGTAATATAGGCAAAGGGCTTAGTCTGTAATTGCTTATAAGATGTCGTGAGGCGAGATTCGACTTGGGTAAAGGATAAAGACTTACGACCACCTCTAAAACAAGTTTTACGTGTTCAATTAAATATTTCAACCACAAGAAAGAAAATTGTGAAATGAAAGGAAATGAAGGATGCTGCTTATCGCAGACACTTGAATAAAGACTTGCAACAAATTGAAAGAATGACGGAGTAATCCACTCTGATTGTGCAGTTGTCGTGAAAATAAGATTAGATAACTGATTAAAGAAGCTTTCTTCATTCCATTCTGACACTTCTTCATACTTCAACCGATTCAGTATAACTCCTTCTGATCGGTTAGTCAATTCGTTGAAATTAAACACAAAATCACCATCGTCATCATCATCTTGAGCATGGTCATCGTGTTGTTCATCACTGACCACAGAAGGATGAAGAGAATCCTGATCGTCTTCCGTTGATTTCAATGAGTGTGAAACACTAACAGTCTGTGTAATTTTCATAAAAGCACTGAGGTTGTATGCATAGAATAGCAGTTTTGTCAATAAGAAGAACAGATAATTTAAACGGGATGAATTGAATAAGTCACTATTTCCAACCTCTTGTAACAGATGAATTAATAAGCTACCAATAACTCTTAATTCTGTAGCATGAATACCATCAAAACCAGAATCAAGCAGCAAAAATTTTTCATATCGGTTTTTTAAACAATTGGACAATGTTTCAACTAACTGGATGGGTATTATAGCATCACAATGGTTGTCACTATTATCGTTATAACTCGATATATTGTGCAAAGAACTTGTTATCAAAGAATGCAGATTATTCATATATGCAATAACATCTTTGTCATGTGCATTGTCAATATCACTGATTTTATCAAACCATACTCGAGCCCAAAAACACAAGGTATCACTAAGGCGATTGGAAAGTAACTTAGGTGATAAACCAGCTGAATTGAAAGTCTTCTTCAGACTGGATAAAGACTGAATCAAAAGTGGGAGTATATCATTTGTAAATATTAAGCATGATGATGAGTCAATTGGAATTGTTGATTCACTGTTAATATTTTCAGTAGAAAGAGCCCATGATTTAGCTAAGCCAAAGATAACTGGATGGGACCAACAAATAGAATGTACTTCGTGTGGTAGATTTGGTAGAAGTGATGAAAATACTTGTTGAATTATAGATGGAACAGTAAAACACTTCAAAGGTAGGTGACCATAGATGCATAACAATAATAAAATATAGAAACTTCTCAGTGAACTTCTTTCGAGTGCTTTCTCTGTCATAGCGTTTAATAGTATATCGCCAATACGACGAAATAGATCAATACACCAGTCTGTTTGTACTGTGAAGATTTCATCACACTGATCCACATCATTCACTGATTTTTTTGTAGTAAAACTTGCATTTTTAATTACAGTTTTATCGACCTTTTGGCTGCTCGATCTAGCTAAATTGTCCAGCAAGCTGATGAATCGTAACGGATCAACACGACCAATAAGAATACGAGTCACTTTACCCGTATTATTTGCTGATGTCATGGAATGCTCAGATTCATTAATCCATTGGAATAAAGTATTTTTCAATCCATCATACATAGAAATTTTCAGGGGGTGGTTTGACTGAGCGAGGTTATTGCAGAATTTAGCAACCTAATTATTAAAACAACAAAATACGAAAATGCAGGTTTATTAAATGCTAAGTACACATGAAATGTATCATGACCTTCTGAAACATTACAAGTCGTCGTAAGCTAGTTTTGCAGATATATCGTTCTCCGCACTTCATGAAGAACTGTATATGTTGCATTTCTCATAAATACTTATTATTTTTTTTATTCCTTCACGTTCCCAGTGGAACAAAGGGCTTCAAGCTAGAGGCTTGAAGTTTCTGTAGCAGTGTTTATTTTTACAGGATGGAGTTGCCAGCCTCATGCCCAACCTTCACTCTCTACCAGTCTTATTGCTGGCTTGGCGAGGTAAAGGAGTGCGTTGAACGGAGATCGAACCCCGGACCATGTGCATGGTCGGCGAGCGTCCTAACCTCTGTGCCACCGACGCATCATGAATACTTGTAGTGGATTTTTATTGAATCGAACAGTTTTATTCTCCTACCTTAACATCTTTCGACCCCTGACTATTGTATTCATTTGTTCTGTATTAAGAATGTATTGTTGGGTTATTTATATGTAAGTGCAACAGTTTACCAAATAAAACTTAAACACCAAACCAGATCAGATGAAAATGAGTGTCAACTTACCACCAATACAACCAACAAATATTAATAAAGTATGATTCAACGAATTCACTAAATTTCTCTAATCTCCAGCTGAATACTCTACATTATTATTATTTCCTTGGGTTCCGAGCGGAACATAGGACTTCGACAACGCATCTCCACTTTTTTTCTATGTTCTGCTATCCTCTTTAGCTGGGCTTAAGATTGCTCATAATCGCTCATCTCCTCCTCACACGATCTCCTCCATGTCACCCTCACACTGACGACCCACTCGTCGCTCCCATTTGGATTCCACTCGAGCGATGGCCTGGCGCGTGATGTCATTCGAATACTATAAATATATATTGGTATGTTTACTATTAGAAATACATAGGATATGTGACTGATAGTGAATTCGTCATGCAAAACGACAGGTGCAAATGTTTCACGGAATAAGTTCAGATAAATAAAGGGGAAAGGGAAGATTATTACTGGAATTTGATGTATTCACTATATCCTGTTTTATTAACACTCGTTTCTTGTTTTATATTGTTAAAGCAACTGAATATGTGTATATAACTTGGCTACTATACCAGTATGTAATTTCATATTCATCTGTTAATTGGTTATATCACACATTGTAGCAGCATTACTTAGGGGAAAAAATAAGATTTCAGAAATTAAAAACCTACTACCATCTTCAAACTAATTTGCAGTTAGATACACAAGAATGTGGGCCAGCTTAATGAGACACAATGGGAAACAGCAACTTAAGAGTATTGTTTATAACTGTCCCCTATGTTTACTGCAACAACGACAACTCAGCGGTGTACACTAAATTGAATTAGACAAAAACTAGTACTGTGAACGAAATTCAAAGTACCGTGAAATACAACGAAAATATCATGTTTAACTATAGTTCAACTAAAATTAGTATTGTCAGAAAAGTGCAGAAAATAAGTAATTCACAGCTACGGCAGGACTTGCATGATGTATTTATTTAACTTAAGCCTTTCGTCGTACTATATGGATCATGCAATTTCACAAATACTAAAATATTAAGACAGGAATATAGTCCATGCTTCTCATATATATATATATATATATATATATATACACCTTCAGTGAATTAAAGTAAATTGAAAACTCACTTGTTTGAAAATAACATTAATATAGGACTGTCTGCAGAGTATGGGTCGGTCGCACATTAAACGTGGTGAATCGTCAGTTCGAGTATAGGTAATAAGACAATCAGACAAAAGGCGTACAATAACCTTCGAATATATCTTTTTAGCTAATAGAACTTCTTCTTTTTCCTCATCTTCAATAGGTGTTAACAGTCTGTCAATAAGGTACCTCGCACATTCTAGAATACCTGTTACGATGACAACTGGTGTGTCTGGATCATTTGGAAGACTCACATTATTATCGGCGTAGTCAGTATTTTGAACATGTGGTAAACCAAGTGATCGCTGTAATCCCGATAAAGTCGCTTCAATAAACAGTTTGTTTACTATTTCCAACTCTGAATTTTTGAGATTAGAATAATTCAATGGGAATTCATTTAAAAGGCACAACAAATGTGTATATACCTGAAAATCGAAGGTAATATGCAGAAATTAATATGGACAACTGTTAAAAATAAAGAGAAATAATTCATATTGATTATGCATTTATATTCAGAGACTCTAATAATCACTTTCGCGTCATACTCATTTGATTTCCCCACATATACTTCTAATTCTTCTTTGCTCACTGGAATCTAGTCTATGTATTTAAAGATAACTGACAATACAATTTATTGCTCATTCCTTATATATACTATACTTCGTTAACACGTTAATGTATCATTTTTGAATGGAAAGAATAATGAATTATATTTTGGATGCATATTGGAGAGAATGGCGAACCAACTGGATTAGTTTAGGAAGTCTATAAAATGAATACAGAATATGGTACTAAGTCGTACTAAATCTACCTATCCGCTTAGAACGTGTGTAATTATAGATAACTAGGATGAAAATTCAAAGGGAATATTTATAGCAGGAATAACTATGCAAACCAGCCAAAATCAATACTAATAATGCAGTGAGTTCTATACACTACAAATATGCAGATTTTGAACTATAATACACGGTGTTTATTTGAACTCAATTAACCGGAACAGATTTCGCATGTGCCAGGTTAAGATCCACACTTATCATATGATGGCTGATGATACTGCCCAGTTGCCGAGGCTGAAGTAGGTGCACTGGGACTCGAACTCACGACCAGTTCGCCGAATACTTACGCCAATGAGCTACATTCCCACATAATAAACCGTAGTTACTAACTATCATTTTTCCTCTAATACCTTACATTGTAACAACAAAAGGCAAGGTATATTTTCAAGTGATCAAACCATTATTTTTATACATACAGTTTTATATTCTCTAACCAATCATTGAGCATGTGAATTTTGTCTACATTAAACGACGTGAAATAGAATGTTCAGATATACATAGTATTCTGTTGCTAATGCAGTATTGAACTGCGGGAATATGTGAGAATAATATTCCGTAGGAACATATTGTCTGTATCACTCCACGAAAATATAACTTTACTGTAAAAATGTTATATTGATAACTTAAACTGCCAGAAGTATTTTAAACGGCTACAAAGCTGAGCGATCTAGACTTCAACCTATGTAGTATTTCTTGACACAATGGCTGGCTATACTACAAAGTATGAAATTCAAGCGGAAAAATTAAAAATGGTCTCCACTGTTAATCCAAATGACTAAGAATTGCAAATCTACACAAGCTCCGTGCACCTGCATCTCTTTCAAAGTGCTATAGGACGAAATTATCGTACAATAAATTGCATCTTATGCCATGAAAACTTGATACACATAGTACGTAATATGGCAGATTTCTTAACATGAATGATTCATTAGTAAATCCGCCAACAGACAAACTTCGGCTAAAAAATATCACCGCATAAGTACTGACTATAATAGAATGACTTTCGTTACTGTTGTTACTTAGTGCACTATTGATTCCGGATGTTAAAAGAATAAATTGGAAATTAACAAAATCGTCCACTTTAACGAATGTAAACTTGTCATCAAAGTTAGTAAGTATATTAGTATGAGTAACATCAAGACTAATTATGTTCTAAGTAAGTATTGAAGATGTCCCATGATCATTTATTGTCAGTTTTCTAAGCAGTAGTGGTTTGATGAACAACTAAATTATAGAAGTACTAAGTATAATCCCCAGCGTGTTATTGAAATAAAAAAATAAGCTTTCTGTATTACTAAACCTGTTAACTTCCTATAGCAACGAGAATCTACGTGAAACGGTAAAAAAATGATATTGAAACTTATTAACTCAGATGGTTCTGTAACCGTTTGACACAGGGGGAACTGTTCATAAACTGTAGTTTTTTTACAATTTTGCATTTAACTGTAGTGTCAAAAGACATAAAATGGTCATTCACTAAAGTGTAAGATAGATGCACAGTGGGATACATTCCGGTTTCATTATACAAACTAAGCTAAATTTTCCAGCACATAAAAATTACTTAATTTCTATTTATGACTTAATGAAGAAAAATTACCGAGGTTTCAGACACCATTTATCTCACCTGCTTAGTTTGGTTTCTTTCAGAATGGGAAAGGAGATTCCCCAGCCTTGTAATAAATGCCTGTTGCCAGTCTATGACAGACCACACAAATTTACCAGACAATCCAGTCAAGCATGCTAAAGTTGCATCCCAAAGTGAGGAATATACGCCAGCACTAAGCTCGCATGGAGGAGAGATTATAACTGATTGATCAGCACTTGAATTTCCACTCTGTCCACAATTCGTACCAAGGCACCCAACAGTCATCTTACAGATATGCTCACCAAGGATTCTTCCATCATCTGTTCCTTTCATCCACTGGCACCAAGAATGGTTACGACACAAAACTGAACAAAGTTTATACATGGCAATGTAAACAGCAGATGATGTTGTATATGCTTGTTCCAAACACGACGTGTTTTGTGTATACTTAACTGTTACTAAAGATTGTGCAACTCTAGTCCAAATATTTTTTGGTGACAATAATGCTTTCAGGCGGATAATTTGTTTGTGATCCGGTGGTAGAAGAATTAAGTCACTAACAAATGAAGCGAGGAAGCGCAAAACTGATGAAAAGTCGGCAGAATACGACGAGGTCTCCATATTACCACTTGGTCCACTACAACTGTCATAGTGACTATGTTTTGAGTGACTCAATGATGCTCCTGTACCTGAACACTTTTCGCTCTCCAGATCAGCTAACTGAGTTTCGACCATATCTAAAAGTTGTTTAGCACACAAACAATAAGCATCAGATAGTTTTTTTCCAGGAAAGGTATCACTCAGTCCTCGAATAGCAAGCGATGCCGCAGATTCATGAGGGTCAATAGTTGCAAAAGTCCACGTTGGAACAATCTGCAAAACAAACATTGACTGCATACATTAAAATGAATTTATATGGTATTCAAGAAACAAAAAACTCATTTAAAATTTTGAATAGACCAAAACACAAAGTTAGAACTACGTCACCAGATAATGGTAACACATGAAAACACCAACAGTTTTAAAATTCGTATACAGAGTAAATCTCCTATGGACTCGGATATCGTAATTAACAATATTAGGTATATTCAAGCATGACAACACAATTAGGTTTCCTCAATTTAGATCAAGATAAAGCATGCTGAGTGATAAGTCTCTAACAAGACATAAATACTTTAAACAGAAGTAAAGCAGAGGATATCACTACCAGAAGAGCATATATTACTGGACATTAAAAACAATTAAAAAGCTTGCATAAATTTTTCGATAGACGCTTTATTCAAAAAAATATGGGCGATACTACTGTCCCATGTGGTTACACAGGTGAGAGATGAATCACAATAAAGCTGGCTGAAATCCTGATTTCACATCTAATACCTTCTTATGTCTAATACTGTTGGAAAGCTAAAACGTAGAATACTAAGCTGTGCACATTATCACTGTTTGGAACTGTTGAAATATGTACTAAACTTGCCTGTCGATTGTTTACCCAAACGTGTTACGTTAACCAAAGTAGGTTGGAAGAAGGGTGACCGATATCTGCTACCTTGACGTGGTGGTCGAGTTCGTATATCGGAATGACCCAACAAGCTACACTGGATGGAACTATTGTTCCTGAAGATCCTACCATGTCCGGAAGGTTGTTAGAATAGAGATTAGACCAAAAGCAGTTACCGGCATAGTGTAGGAACTTTTTTCACTATCCTGAAGTCTGTGGGCGAAGTCGTACTGCTGGGGAACAGGGATGTAACAGCAGTAAGGTGTTTCTCTCAGATGACCAGCATGCTAACCAGCTATGTTGTCTCTTCACTCTCGAGAGAGGGGGTTAGAAAAGGTAGATCCCAACAATTGTACATCCCTAAAGTGTTCCGTAACCGGCGGTAAGTTAACTGATACGGAACCAAACCAAAAAGCCAGTTCATACAGGCCGTGTGTGACCGGCATCAAGCAGTTGTTCCCTAGGCTCTGCCGTCAAGCAACAGTAACCCTCTTTCTGTTTCAGGTACTCGAAGAATCAATCAACTTCCACGGTGTGGGCAGCCGGGAAGTAACAACCGCCCACACACGAAGCCTTCTTGAACATCATTCTCCTTTACCCACATAAACTTCATCATGTTTCCTCCCTACTACTGTCAGTAGTATTCTTAAGACTGGTGAGTCGTCTTCACTTCATTCTGTGACCACAAAGAACGATGAGAGCTATAGAAACACCCCCGACAGCCTCTTAAAGCCACGTCACCAACTTCATATACGGGCAGTCAACGTCAGGACCCTCTGTCAAATCGGACAACAGGCATCACTAGCAAGAACTTTGACATCTCGAGCCATGAATGTATGTCATGTTTCGGAAACACGCATACAAGACCCGAGTGTTGTCATTCACTTCACCTCACCCTGCCAACAAGGTGAATCTGCGAAATTCACTTTGAGAGTGTCAGGAGACTCCTCAGCTAGTTCGTGAGGACTCGCAGGTGTAGGGATAGCATTGAGTGTTAGGGCAGAGAAATCACTTCTTGACTGGATCCCAGCAGATAGTCGTGTGTGCGGTCCGTCTGAACGGGTCCGTTGGAAGAAGAAAGAACGGTGTTACCCGTCGTTGTCTTTTCGTAGTCTCCGCTTACATCAAAACAGACTACAGTTCGGATGAACTAAATGATGATTTCTACCTGAAACTGTCTAATTTGCAGCAAAAAGCGAAACGCGCAGATATAGTTGTTTTGACAGGCGAATTCAATGCCCAAGTACGGAAATTGTGCCTGACTGAGAAGCATGTAGGTGGTACATACGGAGTTTCCTACCGACACCGGTGATCGTTTTCTACAATTCTGCTCAGATAATCATCTGTTCCCAGTCAGCACTAACTTTAGGCACAAAGAGAGACAATGTGTAACCTGGTGACCTCCATCAACAAATAAACGCTGGACTCAGATAGACCACAAAGCGATAGGATATCGTTGGCGAGGGTCAGTAGAAGACTGTCGCTCCTTCTCGAACACGTGTGTAGACTCCGATCACATCCTCGTTCGCGCACGTTTATGTCTGCGTCCAAACGGACATAAAAAATGTTGGCAGCGAAGTAGCTACGTCCCCAACTAAATCGAGACTGAGTCCCTTTTTAAGGAAGAAATAGCGAAACGAGTATCTGAGGTCGACAGCAGTACTCCTCCTCCTCCTAAGGGAGCCTAGCACAACATACAGTTAGTTGTAGACAGCTGTAAAAGCTGTTGATAACCTGAAACCTAAAGTCAGTAAGAGCCATTGGATTTCTATTACCTCATCCGAACTGATCGACGCAAGAAGAGTGATTCCGGCGAGCTCCGATTATGATGAGGAGCGAAAGCCGCTCAGACACAAACTAACACGAAGTCTTTAAAACAACCGTGAACAGGGGTGGCCAACGGAGGCGAAAGAGATTGAAAAGGCATCGGCGATCGGTAACACCAGACAACCATTTAGGCTTATTAGGGAGACAGGTGGTAAAAGGCAAATGATAAGTGAAACAATCTCCGAGAAAAGTGACACCATCATTAACTCCTAGGATAGGCGACTAGGACCTTTGGAAAGAACATTTTGAGGAGTAATTCAATTGGCCTACAACCACGCTCAACTTACCGAACATCCAACACCTCCCTCAATGGGATATAGACACAGGTCCTCGGGTCCTAACTGAGGTTACTAAACCTTTCACTAGTCTGAACCAGGGAAAGCAGCAGCACCTGGTGGAATGACTCCAGAGGTATCTAAATACGGTGGAGACAGTTTACTGCCTGAGTTAACTGAGTATTAAAAGGTCAGAGGAATTCCCGTCAAGCTGGTGTAAGTCATTGATTATCCCGATATACAAGAAGGCAGACAAGTATCATGTGGTAATCATAGGGGGATTAGCTTGACTAATGTGGTATCTAAAGTTCTAGGCTCAATAATCATGTGTAGACTAAGAGGTTCACGAGAGGAACAAACACGAGAGAATCAGGCAGGCTTAAAACCAGGAAGTGGGTGTATTGATCATATCTTCACCCTTCGACAGATTCCAGAACATAGGCATGCTTACCGGCGTCCAACAATCGTTATATTTCTTGACCTAAAGGCGGAATTCGATTCTGTTGACCGAGAGGTACTCTGGCGATACTTGGCTGTAAAAGGAATACCGAGAAAATACATTGCACTGATCAGGGCACTCAATCTATTCGAACTCACATAGTTAACCAGGTGAGAGCTTACGGCGAGTTGTCATCTGAAGTGGTGACAACTAGTGGTGTCCGTCAGGGATGCCCACTATCCCCATTTCTTTTCGCTTTCATCATAGATGTACTAATGGACTTAACCCTAACTCACTTCAGAGTGATTGACTTGTTGCCAGGGAATAATTTCGTTGACTTGGAATATGCAGATGATATAGTCTTTCTAGGTGATAACGCTGACAAAACGCAGTTTTCTGAACGCCTTGAGTTGCAATCTTCGAATGTTTGGCATGAGATTCGCTCCTGTCAAATGTAAGATGATGCTACAGGACTGGACTACATTGACTCCTAGCTTAGAAATAAGGAGTGAAGTGGTAGAGCACGTTGACCATTTCACTTATTTGAGAAGTTGCATCAGCCCCAACAGGTTGATCGCTGAAGAAATCTCAGCACGGATACAGAAGGCTCGTTTCGCATATACCGGTTTACGCCGTCTCTGGCGTAGACGTGATATGCGGCTGGCTATCGACCAGAGGATGTGTGTACTGCTCAGCTGTTCGCTCTGTCCTCCTTTATGGCTATGAGACCTGGCCATTGAGAGTGCAAAACATGAAAAGGCTAGCTGTCTTTGATCATAGTTGCCTGCGATTTATCTACCGTGTGAAATGGTATAACAGGGTGAGCAATATTGAGGTTAGGCGTCCAGTGTTAGGTAAGGAGGGGAAATCAATAGATGAGGCTGTGAAGTTACATCAACTGAGATTGTTAGGACATGTGTTACGTATGCCTAGCCATCGATCGCCTTTCTCCACACTGGGCAATGTTAGCTGACATAGGGTCAGGTTGGAAAAGAGTCAGTGGTGGTCAAACCAAAACATAGCCTAATCAGTCAATAAAATCCACAATAGCTAGTTTAAGCCACGTAGGAAGGTGTGGACATCCTGGTTGGGGTCCTCGGGACGGTAAAAGCCGATGAAGGCTGGAGACAATTGGTGATATGGCTCAAAATCGTTTTCAATGGCGCAGATGCATCCACTCCTTGTAATTTATAATATCCAGTAAAACTATATGGTTCTTCGATATTACGATTCTTTTTGCCTCATATCTCTGTTTACTGTCTCTATTTTACGTTTCTTTTTATTTTCTTCTCTGACTCCGTGTGCTGAGTGAAGTCTGGCGACTCGAATTGCTGCACATCGATGCAAAGTCCTATGTTGAAACCAGTTAGTCGGTCAGAACAAACTAAGGCAAGGTACAACTCTGTGACGCAAATTAAAGTTAGTCTGCGGTACATGTATCTATGTGTATTGCTGAACTAAGATTCACATGAGAACCAAAATAAATCATCAAAGACTAAGCTGCATTGTCAAGAACTTACCTATGTGATCATGGCCTAGTTCGTTCTTTTAGCTTACGGTGTTTTACGCTGATATTGTTAACAACATTCAGATAATCAACACGATAACTTCGACCATTAGGTAGCGTGTTGAAAGTATCTGGATAATCTTAACTTCTGATCCCTGAAATAACTTACCAACTCTTTCTCGTTTGCTTCTCATATAATATCTATTCATTTACATTAATATTCTCCTTCTGATAACACTTGACATTCAATCACTTTTGTTCAATTTCATCTGTGTGCTGACTACTCCCCCGCCGGTAACAGTTCTGGATTTTTTTTCATACCGTTGAACTAAACTAATGTTGCACATGAGCCGCAAGGTGAATGCATCTGTTTTCGCCATTGTCAACTATAAAAATTAAGTTCATAACTCCATTAGAACATTACACTCCAAACCAAAGGTTCAGAAAGTAGTCTTACAGGTCAGCAGTCTCTGCTTTTGTGTCATGAAAATATATGTTAACTACCATACATAAGAGGACAATTCTATGAAGAATTCAAGTTAATTCATTCTGACATTCTGGCAAATCAAAAATCACAAAGGATTGCGAAACATTTAATTTGATATATCACTTTTGCTATCACACACTAAGCGTAATTTTATTTTTCTCTCCATTTTCCATTCACGTGCTCATCATTGTTTCAGTTTTTAGTCTGTCTCTTACGAGTGCATTAATGGATTCTTCCAAAAAATCGTCTTTCACTGAGATATCTAACAGTTATTCCGATGCCTTTTACTCCAACCTGACACTTAAATGTAAGCTGCGTAATAACAAGTAGTTTTAACCAGAAACACAGACAACTTCGACATTAAACTGTACTGAATTTCTGGGACATGAACATAAAATTACACTAAAATACTTTGAATAATCTCTACTTTTTGTTAGTTCAAAAAGTACATCTCTTTCATACATGTTGATCACTCAAAGCTGGATTTATTGCGATAACATACCGAAGGTCGAAGTGTGTGTGCAAGTTGGTTAAAACTCAGTTATTCCATACTTTAATACACCAGGCTATGAGTCATTCTTATTATGTGAAGGCTAGTGATATTAGTCAGGATTCCCTTCCGGAATGTGATGGATTACGCCATTAAGTGCATCAAAATATCAGTATTCTTGCTTCGTGCTACAGGGAGTAATACGTAGTGGTGAACATCTATATACTCATCATGTTTCTCTTGAACTATTTACCTGTACATTAATGCTATATTACATCGTGAATTCGACTTCCGATTCAGTGTTATATCAGAGGACGCATTCAAATAATACTAGTAAACAAATTTTTGATAAGACTGCACGTTAAGATAGTGCTACGACTCATCTTTATCAATTTATACTAACAAAGATGTTGAAATCCATTATCTGAACAATCGCATGAGAAATTATTACTTAATATGAATACAAAATGATTACGAAGATTATTAATTACCTGCTTCAGGCATACGACTAAGTCTTTACCAACACGAGAAGCCAAAGTATGCATAGTTATCTGTGCGAGTTCACGCACTTTTCTATCTCCATCAAATGAAAGACGATGGTAAATTCTTGGCCAAAATGGGAGCACAGCCACAACTGAATTCGTGCTCAAAATAATTCCACTGAATTCATTTGTGGGCTTAAGAATGTCACAGAATTCACGCAGTGCCTTTTGTTTGGTTACTGAGTCACGCTTTTCCAAACGTTTTAAAATACTGAGGAGATGACTATCTAGGCCAGTGGCATCTGGATCCTGAAGTATCGGAACAAAGCCAACCAACTTCCCTTGGCATTCTCCCGCTTGTAAATCACTAGGATTGAGTGAGATTCCTCTCAGCTTTGTATCCAAAATATTTGGTAAGGGTATTCCAAGGCCCCCAGTCTGTTGAACCAGAAACCTGGCAGCTTTATCGCTGCTGGAAGGTTTAGAATTCCCTTTGACTCTCGGTTGTTGAACCGCCGTTTTCTTCTTGCCACCCATTTCAGAAAAGTTAAAAGCAATGAGCTAATATATATATCTACAACAAAGAAATGAATGACAATGTAATGGTAAAATAATAGCTTTCTATTACAGTAGTGAAAGTGGGAAACATAAAAATTCATTTGAATGCTTCATTCATAAAGGGAATAAGTCAAATAGTGTAGTAAAATAAAATGATCTGATTCACTATTGATGACAGTCGGGCAAAAAAACAACTAAAACTTAATCCATTTGGTGAGTTCATTTTAACAAGTTCACTTCGTATCTTTTCTGGAAACATTAGAGAAATTCGGGTGAGTTACTAATTTCAATTCTGCACTTTATTTAACCTCTCGGACTATATAAGTTCTTCAAAACTAATCAGCTATTACGTCTTTAAGCTGTGATTTCACATTTGTAATCAACACCACAGACATGTTAATCACTAGTCATATAAAGAAATTGGGGCTATAAAAGTAGTTATTTAGAATTTATGCCGAACAGACCTTTTCATGCACTACGCTATAAGATACTCATTGCTAAAAAGTTGATGATACTACTCAATAGACCAGATTAAACTAGGTGACACGAGATTTAAATCGGAGATCCTATGATCCAAAGTCAAGTGACTCCGTCAATGCGTTGCATCTGTACTGGTTCTGGAAAGTGGCTTCAACAGTAACATAATTTGTGCAACCTTGTCCACAACTATGTGTAAGTCAGTTACCTACCATTGCATACTAAAAGCAGATAGATTACAAACAGGCAAAGAAATAAAACTACTTCGCATTTTATCTTTGGTAATCGGACAATCGTTTAATAATTTGATTATATTCCAAACTATACACCATTTAAAACTGCCACTGTCACTTTTCGTAATGTCAACTAACAGACCTAAAGCCACTTGGATACTGGCTGAAGAATTAGCAAAAAAAAAGTGGCAAAAAAGTTATCACATTGAATAACCACATACAATGACTGAACCAAATAATACTAAGAGGCAAACACGTGTGTGACAGAGTGAATACATCTACGTGAATGTGTATTTTGAAGATTGATTCGAAACATCTTGATTATCCCAACCAGACATTTAACACATCTGTGATTCATATCAATAGATAATGGCTTCTGGATTGGTGTTTGGTTCTAGCAACTAAACTATTTTCAACACTTTTACGGTGAACGAATAATTATCTACCTATAATGAAACAACTACGTACTGAAATAACGCTGGTCGTTCTTTAAACGAGCAATGGACGCTTGATAATGCGACAAAACCTTAAAAACAGGATTTGAAGTTGAGATAATACCTTTAGTGCTGAAATTTAGCTGGAAAATTGTCACTATGCGCCGAACTTTCTGTTCTAAAGTAATGCCAGTCAGTACTGAATCTGGACTGAGAGAGCTGGAACAACGCTGATAAGAAAACCCAGTAGGTTCAGATTTACTTATGAAAAGGCCTAGAAAAGCACAGGGTGCTGAATTCGTGTCAGTCATGCTGAAAACCAGCACATAATTCTTATTTGTGCGCATAATCAAACCATTTTGGAACGATTTCAGAATCTGCTTATTATAGAACATCAAAGTTAGTTCAGAATTAGTGTTATTTAATTCAGCATTAAAATTAGCTTGAGATGCTACAGCATCGGTGGATAACACATTGTGGACGTGCTGAATTATAAAACTTTGAAGTCAGAAATATTCCTAGAACACTCCGAAATTTCTCCCAAAAAACATCTTGCACAAATGAGAGGCAATAGTGAATCAGCAATTAAATGCTTAATTATGCTAACAAACTTTTGAATATGAACAAATAGGACAAGTGTCACATCATTAAACGGAATCATTGAAATGGTAACTTCAAAAAAGCTCACATACTCTGCGTCATCTTACCTCTTCTCTTTGCCTGTTCAATAAAAGTGGTCAGGTCAACCACTTGTGAAACACCACACGCATCATCCCAACCGAAAACAGCTCGAAACCCAAGGTCACCACCTAGTCATTTTATCAATTCAGTAGACTAAAAAAACGTACCTAGTCCAAGTGTAGAGAATGATAGCTGTTAGTAGGCAAGATACCTTTACTAGGTGACTGCAAAATATGGCAGCCTAAAACGAAACTTTCTAATGAACGGATTGATGACCCTGGCGAATTTATGTGGAGAAATGGGTTTAACCTGAATATGAGGGTTCCTGTGAGAAACTGGGGGTTTTTGAGTATATACGATAATAATATACTATGAAACCATGTTTTAACATTGCAATATTTGTATATGAACGTTTATTTCAAATTACACACTTCTGCTTCTGACATATCTGGTTGGTCGCTTGAGATAGCTTCGTTTTGGGCTGCTATAGTTTCGTGTTACCAGAATATCAAACTGATTGCACAAAGTACGATGTGTATTTGAGATCGGAGTCCTAGTGTGATGATGATTGCTTAGGCAGCTAGAGAAAGTGTCCGAACAAACAGTCGAACGTAGCACGACAGCCTACGGAACGGGATGGATTCTTGGAGGAAAACTTTCAGCTTGACGCGAAGACTTAGATAGTTAAGTTGGAACTACTAGCGGAATTCTTCCGAATGGTGTGATGAAAATGAGTGGCCTATCAGCAGTTTGCCCTAGTTGACTCTGTATATGCTTAACGCCGGTGTGTGTCCGTCGGAAATAGTGGCAAGTTCGCTCCTTGTACACTACCCTTCGTGCTTGGAATAGAGGAAAACAGTGCTCAGAACTTTCTGGAAAAGACACACACTGGAAATGATGGCTCACGTAAATATAGAACAGTCACTCTGGAAGAAGGTATTATAGTACCAAATAAGTTTATCTGACTTAACACAGTAATGCAGCATAAATAACTGGATGGTGTTTCAACCATATGGGTCAGGCAAACACCGTCGTCGGACAGTAAAAGTTAGGGACTTTTCAAAGGCTAAGTGGGAAACAACGCGGTCTTTTATTCGTTGCCAAGACTGGGATACCTTTTTCTCCTCGGTAGACATTGATACTGTCCTTGACAGTTTCTACTCCAACATTTCAGTTTGCTTCAACGAATCTATCCCTTGGTATACATCCAAAGGCAACCGTGTAAATCAACTATATATACCGATTGCTACCAGGAACAAGCTAAGAAGACTCCGTAAAACCTATAATAAATCTATGGACTTCTCCTCGCTCATTAGCATCCTAAAGGTGTATGATAAAATCAGATCAGATAATGCCAGTAAAATTTACAAAGAAGAACTTGTCGCCCTTAAAAGTAGCTGCAAAATTAGCTCTCTATGTAAACTCTTCCAAAAGAGACTGCAACAAAAACAAGGCAACATCCCTTACATTTTTCATAATAATGTTGCTGTTAAGGATGATGCAGGCATAGCTGAACTCTTTAACAAGGACTTTTTTGACTCATACACGCACGATATTTCCGCATGCATTGAATTTGACCCTGTAACAGAAAAAACACTGTCAAATATGTGCTTGACTGTTGATATTATAAAAAGTGCAATCAGTTCATTGAAATTCTCCAATACTCCTGGACCTGACTCTATTCCGTCATCCTTCCTAAAAAATGGTGGCTCTGATCTCCCTCTCCTTTTGCTTAAGATATTCTCAACGTCCCTTGTGAATGGAGTTTATCCTTCCAAATGGAAGCAGACATATATTATTCCTAGATTTAAATCCGGCTCAAAATATAATGTAAAGAATTACAGGCCGATCAATATAACGTCTGTCTTGTCAAGGATACTTGAGAAGATAATCAGTAACAAAATCACTGACTTCTTATTGACTGAAAACCTAATAACACCTTCTCAGCATGGCTTTATAAAGTCCAGGTCATGTATGACTTGCCACTTAGAACTATTCGATTTTATAACTGGACTTACAGACCAAAAATTCGTTGTGCTCATTATGTATATTGATCTTAAGAAGGCCTTCGATAAAGTATGTCATAATTTACTCCTGCAAAAACTTAAGGCTTACGGTATATCTGGCAATCTCTTACAGTGGTGCAATTCATTTGTGTGTGGCAGGTCCCAGTCTGTTAAGATTAACGACACTTTTTCCAGTACCACTCCTATATCAAGTGGCGTGATTCAAGGTAGTGTACTAGGACCTCTCTTCTTTCTAATATACCTAAATGACGTCTGTGATATAAAACACGGCAGACCTTTCTTATATGCCGACGACTTGAAGATAGTCTACCACAGTACCACGCAAGAAGTGACAAATCTGTCTCATAAAATCCAATCGGATATTGATAATATTGAGACATGGTGTAAGTCGTGGATGATGCAGATCAACGTGGAGAAGTGTGGACTGTTATGCCCAGCTCGCTTACGTATCACACCACACATAACTATGTGCAACAAGCCTATCACTATCTTTCCTTCTGTACTTGACCTCGGGCTTCGTTACTCCGCTGACTTTAAATTCTCTCTCTATGTCACCAACCAAGTTTCTAAAGCCAGAAGATTACTTGGATTTATATTTCATAACTTTCAAACACAAGAATCTAAAATGTTACTTTATAAAACACACATACGGCCCCTCCTTGAGTACTGTCCATTTATCCTAGACAGCACCTCTGTTAAGGACAAACTAAAGATTGAAAGCGTTCAAAGGAGATTTACAAGTAGAACCCTAGGAACAAGTCTGAAAGTTCCCTACAACTATCGTAGCACAACTCTTAAGATCGAACCCCTTTGGTTCAGGCGCCACCGACTTAACCTCATTCTCCTTTTTAAAATAATCAAAGGAATAGTATACTTTCCCAATAATAACCTTAACTTTACTTCTTCGACGTATGAACTACGCAGCAACGGGTCTTCTCTAAGCCATATTCTTTGTCGAACGAAATCTCGTTCCAACTTCTTTACAGTCAAATATAGGCAAACGTGGAACTTCTTGCCAAGTGAAATCAAAAATAGCTCCACAATACAACGATTCACCTATCTAGTAAATAAATATTTCTCTGAAAACAGTCTTGAAACAGTTTGCCACATACTGAATATTCGTGATA